AGGCTAATTTTGTGTGGGCCTTGCACCTGAAAAGATTATTGAAAAATGTAAAACACAATAAAGTCACTATTTGTTCTGATGGTCTGAGCAGCATAATAGCAAAGATAGAGAGCGGAGAGAGTACAATACTAAAGTAAATAAAATATTTTTACTTAGTTCTTAAGGTCAGAGTTATTTCTGAGTCAATGTTTTAGGTGATCTGCTAATCTGTTTCACGGATACTGACCTAAACATTAGTATAATTTAGCCATCTCCAACATTTCATGTACACACCTTTTTCAAGAACGTTCATTTTTATTTTGTCCTGCTTTAAATCTTGTATCTGTTTTGTTAATAAAATCAGCACCTATCTGAGTCATTGACGTTTTTAGTGCAAAAACAGAATCAAACCGAAAGCCAGATTTTACAGCTAAAGTGGTYGCAGTGTCTGTGTGTGTTTACTCAWCTGTTAATAAAGTTAACCAGACCAAACAGACAAAAAACCTMTGACCCCTCGGACTACAAAGCTAGTCACAACAGGCTGACGAATTTACAACCACTGAGTTTATCCTGATCAACTCCAAGGATCCATGATGCAAATTTGGTTCTGACCAGAGACCTGTCCGAGTCCAAAGTGAAGGTGAGACTTCTTTTTGTGTTTGTGGTGTCATTGAGTTTGCAGCAGCAAAGCACTGACAAGAGTTTTTTTTTTAATGGCTAATTTAATCTGCTTTATGTATCAGTCGAAACACTAAAACAAGTTTTTTTTTGTTTTTTATTCTGTTGTGCTGGATCTAATATTRTGGTACTGAACATTTTTTTGTTTGTTTTTGAATACTTCTTCATTAAAAATGTAAACAACATGAAGTCATCCCAAAACACTCAAAAGTAGCATTGATAATAATCGTAAAACTGAAAACATCATACTAYCAATATACTACTATGAACAAGTATATATAACATATGAACATGAGTACACAAGGAAAGAACCTTTGTTACAAAATCTTATTATTTTTTCAAGGAAATCAAAACACACTTTTTWAAGCCTTTTGTGTCAAAGTTTTAAATACTAAAATATTTATAACTTAACACAAAAAGTAATTAAATATTTGTGTTTGGTATTACCAATGTAATGTAGTGTCTTGTTGTAAGACATTATTTTACATTTTGGTTAATAAATTGAATTATYAAAATGGTTACACTTCTATTTCATGTTGCTAAAAGCCCATCTAGGAATGGGCATTGCAAACTAGCTTTGGCTATAAATCTTGTAGTGTATTRTGTAGTGTAGTGTTGTTAATACTTGACACTTGACCCTATTTAAATAAACAATAAATGAAAAAAATGAAACAAATGTAACAATGCTTCAAGATTGGTAACTTATGGCGAATACCTGGTTAGTATCACCTGGCAGTRCAAAAAGYTCAAAACAAGTGTCAACAGAAACAGAAAAGTTTGGATCTGGTATATTTTTAATGTGTGCAACCGACACACTCAGCTCTACTGCTCATCCCACAAATACATGTTCCTTACAAATGTGACATTTTAAAGGGAAATTACTAGGATTAACAATAGTATAAAGATTTATTACCAAGAACCATTTTTACTACAAATAAATAATCTACCAAGCATACAGTT